ACCGCCCGGAATTGTTTTTGGTTTTCAAGACAGGGTTTCTCTGTGTAGCCCTGGCTGTCCTGGAACCCGCTCTGTAGACCAGGCTGGCCTTGAACTCACAGAGATCCACCTGCCTCTGCCTCCCAAGTGTTGGGATCAAAGGCGTGCGCCACCACCACCACCTGGCTGTTGCTGTTTTCTATTGCATTTCTAAGTTATTTGTTTGTTCCTTTTGTGTGTGAGAAGCCCAGAGGTTGGCTCTGGATGACTCCTTCCCCTCTGCCTCCTTCTTTTGAGGCAGGCTCTCTCACTGAACCTGGAGTTCACAATTTATCTAGACTGGCTGGTGGTAAGCCCCAGAGGGACTTCTTGTCTCTCTCTATGTCCCCATGCTGGGATGACAGCGGCACACCTGGCATATTTTATTTATTTATTTATTTATTTATTTATTTATTTATTTATTGGTTTTTCGAGACAGGGTTTCTCTGTAGCTTTGGAGACTGTCCTGGAACTCACTCTGTAGACCAGGCTAGCCTTGAACTCAAGAGATCCGCCTGTCTCTGCCTCCTGAGTGCTGGGATTGTTGTTAAAATGTCTAGGTTTACCCAGTAACAGACACAAACTGTGAGTCAAGGATCCCTCGTGGAGTTTTATTGGTGGACAGGGGGTGAGGGGTAACAACCCGTGGAGAGCTGAGAGAGAGAGAGAGAGATAAGATACGAGAGACAGAGAAAAGGAAGAGAGAGAAAAAGAAGAGGAAGACGAGAGTAAGAGAGAGCATAAGCGGGCAGGGGTCAGTCTTTAAAGGGGTCCTTTGCACCTGCGTGGTTCTCACGGAACTCTGGGCTGGCCAGAGAGCTGCCTGAGTGCATCCTGCCAGGTAACAGGGCAGGCCAGCGTACCGCCTGAACCTTTCAGGGATTAAAGGCATGCGCCACCACTACCCCGCCCTTCTGTTTTTTAAATGTTGTGTGTATGACTGTTGTGTCTGCATGTCTGTCTGTGAACATTCATTCGGTGCCCACATTGGCGAGAAGAGGGCATTAGATCCTCTCAACTGGAGTCCCAGATGGTTGTGAGCCACCATGAGGGTCGCCCGAGGAGCAGCAGCGCTGTTAGCTGCTAGGCCGTCTCTCCTGCCCCAGGTCGGTGCGTTTAACTGAAGCCGATGTAAAATGAAACTTAGCGTGGTGTCCAGTCTACAGGAACTTGGCATCTTCTCTTCTAAGGTCCCCCACCCCTGCCAAGTCCCAAAATCTTCCACTGCCAAACTGTTGGCAGTCACCCCAGCCCTGGCCTGTGCCAGTCCAGTGGAGTCACTCACTCTGAGGACATCTGTGCCCGGCTGTCACCCACGGTCTTATGTGTCAGTTTCCGCCCAGAGCCCAGAATGGGAATCCCTGCAGAGTCCTGGCCCCCTGGCCCAACCCTGCGCCTTGTCTGGTCCTCCTCAGTGACCCCAGATTCTCATCTGCCCCTGGGGCCCGTCAGCTGCAGCCCTGCCTGCCCTCTCCTGGCTGCCCTGGCTGTGACTCACCTGCAGGCATCTTGTCTCAAAACAAATGTTTGAGAAAGGACCAGATCCAGCAGCCACCCTGGAGCCTGAGGTGAGGTGGGCTGGATGGGCATGAAGCCCAGCATGTGACGGCCCCTGGGGACACAATGGGAGGCCAAGGGCCTGTTTGCTTTCTGGGGTTGACCCCTCTTCTCCTGTCCAGCTGCAATCTGCTCCACTGGATAACACGGGCCGTGTGCTTGCTGATATGGTGACAATCTGCAGACTCTGTGCCACCAAATGTGGGCCACCAGCAACCTGTGGGGTTCTCTTGTTACAGGCACAGCTCCAGGGGCAGAACCTGGGGAGACCCCAAAACAACCCCACATCTTACATCCATTTTCTTTTCTTCCTTGCCCCCTTTCTTTCTTTTTGTTTTGAGACAGGGTGTCTCTGTATTGTTTTGGAGGTTGTCCTGAAACTCACTCTGTAGACCAGGCTGGCCTTGAACTCACAGAGATCCGCCTGCCTCTGCCTCCCGAGAGCTGGGATTAAAGGCGTGTGACACCATCGCCCAGCATAAATCTTGTTCACTTTGAAAGCTTTTTTTTCTTTTTTTAAAAGTTGTGTTTCTTTTAAAAATGTTTATTTTGTTGTGTTTTAGTATGTGCACTTGTGTGCCGGGTGCAGAAGCGGTATTGGATGCCCTGGAGCTGTGAGGCACCTTGTGGGCGCTGGGAGCCGAACCTGGGTCCTCTGTGTTCTGTGGCACTTCAGGCCGACTTCCCGGGGGCGGCTCTCTGGAGCTGCACAGTCAAGGCTCTGCTGCCACAATGGAGGCAGTAGGATGGCAGCCATCTTCTCTTCTGCTCAGGAGCCTAGCAGCTGCTCTGCAGCTGAGCCTTGCTCCCCTCTGAAGGATGCTGGGTTTTTAGAAGAGCACAAAGCAGGGTCTGGTCAGGCTTTGCATTCCCATGGTAACTGTATTTCAACTCCTGCTGAGTAACCATGGTCTGGTCAGGTCTCGGTGGAAACTGTGGAAAACCAGAGAAGTACAGCCACAGGCCACAGGTCACACAGCAACCTCAGCGGGATTCTACTGGATGACATCGTGTGCGGGGAGCCCCAGTTCTGAGGGAGGACCCCAATACTCCCTCCACCATGAGGCTCGACTGTGGGCAGGTCTTGAACCTTGAATTTGTTTGGGAGTTGAGACAGTCTCGGGTAGCCCAGGCTGGCTCTATATTCGCCAGGAAGCCCACGATGACACCTTCAGCTTCTGCCCTCCCGCGTCCGCTGGGTGGTCCTTGGATTTCTGCATTACAGGTGTCCTAGAGCCAGTCAAGCCTGGGTCGATGCCGCGGAAGAACCTAACTGCTTCCTGTCTGCTGCGACCCTGTCTCCTCTGTCCCCGTCCCCCCTCTCCCACACCCCATCTGCTGTGGCCCCTCCATCCTGGCTTCCTGACAGCGCCCCTGCTGCCCCAGAGCCGACAGGAATGTTGACAGACTCTTGGCCTCAGCCTTGGATGCCAGATCGGCAGGGGAGGGCCCCACCTGGCCCTTTGGTCCAACAGAGTGGGAGCATGAGCGGGGGAGGTCAGGGCTCAGTGCTCTGGCCTGGAGGGCAACAGGCAGTTCTGCAGGGGTCACCAGGGTCTGGTGAGTCAGCAGGTGGACCTTCTAGAATTTCTACCCAAATGAGCAGAGTTGTGCAGAACAACCAGGGGCCTGTGCGTGCAGAAATGCTAAAAACAATATTAAGAGATTGAAGCCAGCTGTGAAGGACACTGGACAGGGGCGAACGGAGCTTCATGCCAGGGACCGGGGGACCCTGGAGCGCTAAGGGCCTGGATCATTCAAACCCAAGAAGAGGAAAATTCCCCAAGAGCAGCGCCCCATGCTAAGGAGCCGATAACATCCCACAGCCCTCCCGAGACTTAAAGCCTGGTGCTAAAGGAGGAACTGGAGAAATCGGGCCGACGGAAGCCGGGAAGAGGATCTGGTCGCCGGCCTGAGGTCAGGTGACTGAAGGACGGACATGATATATTCCAGGTGTGGCAGGGCTGCAGCCACCCTGGCTGGCAGTAAAAGCTGCTTGGGGATGTTGCCACTGAGATAAGAAAGAATCAAGGCCAGGGTGAAACAGAAAGGAGGGCCACAGATAGGGCTCAGTGGGTAGAGGAGGTTGCTGCCAAGCCTGAGAACAGGGTTTGCTCCTCCAGCTGCACATGGAGGAAGGAGTCGGCCAACCCCTGCGAGCTGTCCTCTGGACTGCACTGCCCCGCATTGCGGTGTGTTTGTGTACACGCAGATAACGGCAACACCTTTTATTTACTTATCTGTTTATTTATTTAGGTTTTTTTTTTCCAGAAAACACCTTTAAAAAAAACATAAGGGAAGTGGTGGCGCACACCTTTAATCCCAGCACTGGGAAGGCAGAGGCAGGTGGATCTCTGTGAGTTCGAGGCCAGCCTGGTCTACAGAGAAGGTTCCAGCACAGCCAGAGCTACACAGGGAAACCCTGTCTCAGAAAACCAATAGGTGGATGGACGGACAGACAGATGGTATAAGGAAGGTGGGTCCTGGAGGAGGGGGTGTGGGAAGCCCCTGAACTTCTTGCTTGACAAAATGAACACTGGGGAGGTGGAGGGAAGATCAGGTGTTCAAGGTCATCCAGAGCTATACAGCAAGTGAGAGGCTAGCCTGGGCTACATAGGACTTTGTCTTAGTCTTGCCCCCCAGATTAAACATGCCACTGCCATAGGAGCCAGCCAGGTCATGGTCACCCAAGAAACAAGTTCCTCAGAAGAAGTCAAAGTACAGTGACCTGAGGGCTTCCAGGATGCGTTACCTGCTCAGGCCACACATGGTGTTTGTACAGAGCCCTGGTGCAGCCTTGTGGAATACCCCTTTACACCGTGTGAGTGTGTGTCACTGTGACTGTTTGATAAGGAAGCTGGCTGCCCTGTGGCTGGACAGGATGAGGTTAGGAGGAGAACCAGACAAGAGAATGCTGGGACGGAGTCTGAGGATGCGAGAGGCGTGCTCACAGATGCTCACAGGTGAGGTGAATGAGCCTTGGGGCAGCACCCAGGTTAAGAGAAATAATTTAAACTGTAAGAGCTTGCAGGAGACAAGCTCAGCTGCTGGCTGAGCATCTGTAATTAGTAGTAAGTCTCTGTGTGGTTGTTTGGGAGTGGCTGCCGAGACAGTGTTGTGGACTTGCTGTCCCATGCTGGGACAGCCTCTGGTACACGGCAAACCTTTCCCAGGCCATGACGTCAGCTGCCCACTTACTTGCTTGTTGCCCCGGTTTTGTTTTTTTGAGTCTGGAACTCAAAGTACCCCTTCTGCCTCAGCTTTTGGGGGCTGGGATCTCAGGTGTGTGTCACTGTACCCGGTCTGCACCCGTAGGTTCCCTAACTTAGAGTGGAGATTAGGCTCTCTGTAGATACTTCCTACACTATTTGTCTAGGGACTCAGGACCCCAAAAGAAGACCATATATGTTCAATAAGAAAATAAATTGTCTTTTTAAATTTTTTAATCTATGGGTTCCATACTGATACCAATAGCCAACTGATTATGTCACACCACTGTACAGGAAAACCCACAGCAATTTTATTCATTGTAGATGAAAGCTGGAAAAAATCAAGCTATCCTGCTGGGCACGAGTGAAACACTGTGGTATGTCCATACAATGGAGTACTACTCGGCATTGAAAAAGAGTGGAATATTGATATACACAAAAGCATGGGGAGATAACTAGACATCAGCCAGACTTCCTTAAGACCCTGTGTCAAAAAAAGGAGGTTCAGGTATGCAGTCCAGTGATAGAGCACTTGCCTAGCATGTACCCAGGTGAAGGTGGAGAGCTTGGGAGGTGCCATATACCGGGAATCTGTAAGGAATTAGCAGAGGCTGGGTGACTGATTACAGAGAAACATGTTCCACAAACTGTAAGTTCACACTCAAGTTGTCACCACGTCTGCGTGTCTCTTGTGAAGGCTCTGAGAATCCGTCCCTGGGCATCTCCAGGAGTCTGGGGCTCTGCGTGCTGGAGACACCTCACTCCCCTTGATTTCCCTGCCCAGTGTCTGTCACTTCTTCCTGGGGTGGGGATGGGACCCTGGGCCTACTGTGTGCTGGGCAAGCCCTTTACTGCCGAGCATGGGGCCAGCCCAGGTTATCTGTATTTGTTTTGGGACAGGGTGTCCTGTAGTCCAGGCTGATCTCAAATACACTGTGCAGCTGAGGATGACCTTGAATTTCTGAACCTCCCCAGTGTCTGGGTGACAGCCCTCAGTTTCTCTGCATGTTAAATGGGCCTGGGTGGCTCAGTCGGCAAACCTCAGTCTGGAGCAGCTGGGCTTTCTCGGCCACTGAGCCCAGCTCTACAAGGTCCCGAAGGTTCCAGACCTTTCCTTTGCGGGTGGAGAACCATCCCTCTTCGTTTGGGTGCGGGTAGGACACGGGGACCCGGGGAGGGGACGCAGCCTGTGACAGCCAAGCTTCTCAACACGCTCCCGACCAGCCAATCAGAGAGGAGCCTGCTGGCCCGCGGCTCGCGATTGGCCTTCCGGGGCCCCGCCCTCAGAGGTTGGTCTCGAGATCGCGCCCGGGGGACAGCGGGTGGGCCTCGTCGCCTGGCAGGAAGCCAGGGGGCTTTTTGGTCGCAGCAGGGGTGTCTTCCGGACCCTGGGAGAAAGCGGAGGACATCACATACCCTGGCCAGATGGGCTCCCCGAGGACCAGGTCGGCCACGCCCAGGGTGGGCCACGCCCCGCTCAGTCTCCCGCCCTCCACTGCCCTGCTGTCTCAGGCGGCCGTGAGACAGGGTCTCACTCCGTGTCCCAGGGGAGCCTCACACTTACAGTGATCCCCCAGCCCCAGTGCTGAGCCACGGCCATGCCCGCACCCAGACTCCCGACACTATTACGATTTCGTTTTTGTGTTGTGGGTATGGGCGCTTGGCCGGAAGGGGGTGTGGGACCCGGCAGCCGCAGACGTGAGTGCTGGGCTGGGACCACGCCCCATCCCTTCACTTGAGGCAGCTCTCAGGGCCGGCAGGCAAGCCTCCCACCGCAAGTCCTGTCGGGTGTCGCCGCTGGGTGTCACTCCGGTCTCTCAGGAGGTGACAGCGTCTCCCACGTTTGGGGCACCGGCTCTGCAGTCCTCTGACTCTGCTCCAGCCCAGCGCCCCCAGGTTCTTATGTAATTCTGAATTAAGTAATGTTATCTTAAGAATATTCTTCAGCAGTGTCTCTCTCTCTCTCTCACTCTCTCTCTCTCTCGAGGGGAAACCAGTTTCCCCCGCCACAGGCAGGAAATAATTGTTTAAAAAAACAGACATGATAAAAATAGACAACGCTCACGTGTGTCAACCCTGGGAAAGGGACGCTTGACAGCGGAGAGGGCCCTGCCCAGCCCCTGGGGCTGCCCCCGCTGGGTCCCCACGGCCCTGGAGCCCAGAGACCCGAGCTGGATCTGACCTTCACCAGGCTGTCCTCCAGGGTGGCTGTGTCCTCCTTCGGGGCCACAGACGCGGTCTGCCGCGCGAGGTCCCACCACAGCAGTCCAGGGCCCAGGGAGCTGCGCTTGGTGGGGCCTGAGGGCCAAGGGACAGGGACTCAACGTTGGGTGCCCGTCCAGCCCCGGCTCCACCCATGGCTGCCCGCTGGTGAGGGGTTCAGTTGTCATTTTTCTCTTCTGAGACAGGGCCTCCAGTTTGTCTGGGAACTCATGGCAATCCTCCTGCCTCTGCCTCTGGAGTGTGAGCATCACAGGTAGGCACTAGAGAATGTCCAGCGTTCTGTCCATTCGCTGTTTCAACCCTGGTGTCTGGAAGTTCCGCAAAGGCCTGAGGGCGTCAACTCGCTCTGTCCGAGGCGCAACCCAGGCTGGGGCTGGGGCCGGCCAGCAATGGCCTGGAAGCTCAGTGGTTGCTGTGGTGCACCAGAGAGCCCGAGCTTCCGTCCCCAGAGCACATAAACCAGGTGTGGCAGTTCATGCTCTCATGAGGGTCCTAAGCTCAAGGTCTGCCTCAGCTACACAAGGAATTCCAGGCTAGCCTGGGCTACATGAGAGCCTGTCTCAAAAGGAAGTATGTGGATGAAGAAAAGTATAGCATGGTTGAGTGTGGTGATGTACACTCACCATCCAAGCACTCTGGAAGCTGAGGGTCGGCCTGAGCTACAGATGAGACCCCTCCCCCATCTCAAATCCAAGCAAACAGAATTCTGTGGGGCCCGGGAGCCCCACAACGAGATGTGGCTTCAGGACCGCGGACAGCGCCCCTCTTAGCCCGGTCTCCCCTGGAGGAACCGGCCTCAGTTCCCACATCTGTAAAATAGAACCGGCCTCGCACCGCACAGGGTGCCTCGGGGGCGCCAGGCCACGGCCGATGGGGGCCCCTTCGGGGGTGGGGGCGGAATCAGGATGGACTGCCTCGGGGGCACCAGGTCACGGCCGATGGGGGCCCCTTCGGGGGTGGGGGCGGAATCAGGATGGACGGCACCTGATGGAAGCCGCTGCACTTACCTGTCAGGTAGCTGATGACGGCACCACACAGCATGGTGGTCAGCGTGCCCAGAGCCCCGTAGTAGAGATAGGAGATGGCATAGAAGGTGTCCGCGAGGGCGGGGCGGCTGGCCTCCGTTCCAGAGCTAGGGTGGCAGAGGGGACACGAGGTGCTGTCTGCCCGCACCCACTCCACCACTGAGTCGGCTCAGACCTGTGCGGGAATCTCCCCGCCCACCACGGCTCCCCACTGATCTCGGAATTCAATGAAATGGAATGCCTAGGAAAAAACCCTTCTGGTCAACTTCCATAGACCTCTGAAGCAGAGGTGCTCACTGAAAAAGGTGCCACCTGACCAAGCTTGGAAGGGCTTGGAGCATTTTCTCTTTTTATTGTTCTAGAAGGAAAAATGCTCATCCACTGAGCTACATCCTAGCCTGCCCTCCTTTTGAGACGAGGTCTAGCTAAGTTGTCAAAGAAGGCCTTGAAGCCACGGCCTCCAGAGAGCTGGAGAAGCCTATGCACACTTGGCTTTGCACACAATGGCTTATTGAAGTTCTGTTCGCAACAGCCCCAACCCGGACTACCCACATGTCCATTAACTGATGAGCAGTTACACACTTGTGGTATATCCATTCAATGGAATATTACTCAGCCATGAAAAGGAGAGATGCAATGGTATATCCTTCACTCACTTTCAAAACAACTTGAGACACAAAATCCCACATATTCTAAGATTTTGTTTATATGAAAGCCTTAAAGAGGTAAATCCACAGACACAAAACATTGATCCTCCAAGAAGTTGGGAGAATTAAAAATGTTAATTTATTAATGTAGCCCAAATTGTCCTCAAACTCGCTCTACAGCCCAGGATGACCTATGGTCTTCTCTGTTGCCTCCACCCACCCAGCTAACCCTGAGTTGTTATGGCTACTTCTATAGGATGCTAATTGCACCCCCAAAGATCATTAAAAAAGGAAGAAAAAGTAGCCAGATACGTTGGGGCAACCTGCCATCTTAGTGTGCAGCATATGCTAAAAGGATCGGGGTCTGTTCATTGTCATCTTTGGCTGCATAGAGAGTTCTAGGGCCAGTCTTGGCTACATGAGACTCTGTTGCAAACTACTAAAATGCAAATAAAGCCAAAAGCCAGCCGATTCCTTTGCCTTTGACCCCTCCTGTCAAGCCCAGCCCACATGGCTGTAGCCTCCAGAACCTGAACGTGGCCCCAGGGCCTTTGCCCAGACTGTTTTTGTCCCGGGCTCCCAGTCCCTTCCCGTTGACACCCTGACATCACAGCCTAGACCCCAATCTGGGCCGCTCACCTGGGGACCCTGCTGGAGGTGTTGGCAGCTCCGGTTGGGCCCATGAGGACCGAGGCATTGGTGCAGCCGGCTGCTGAGGTGGGCAGCACCCCCATGATCTGCTCTCCGGGCGGATAAAGTGTGGCCCCCACGGCCACCCACAGGGATACCGTCAAGCCTGCAGCGAGCCCAGACAGGACGCCCTGGGGGCGAGGCCACCGTGAGGGGCGGTGCTTCTTGACCACGCCCCCTCAGACCACGCCCACACCCTCCCCACTCACGGGCGTATTGCAGGCTGGGAGCAGCATCCCCAGCGTGAAGGCGCCTAGCAGAGGTCCACTGATGACGCCCATCACAGTGAAGGAGCCCTGGGAGGCAGGTGAAGGAGGACTGGGCTTAGCCACCGTCTCTCGAGACTCAGTTTACCCAATGGAATCCCACTGCAGGCCTAGAGACCGCTCTGCACCCGTTTCTCCACTCTTTCTCAACAAAGGCTGGTAGACAATAACGGTGATGGGTCTCAGGTATGCCCTCGACCTCTCTATGTAGCTAAGGCTACCTCTGTCATCTTCCTGCGTCAGCCTCTGGGATGACAGGTGCTCACTCTGCCAAGCCCTGCTCCTCCAGTGTCCCCAACGGCCTGGGCATCTCCCTGAGCCGCGGCTGGGACTCATGATGGGGGTGCAGGGCAGGTGGGGCTGGGGTCTCACCTGGAGGACACCGCCTCCCAGCATCGAGGACAGAGCAGCCACCGTGAGGCAGGCCGAGCCATAGATGAGGGCTGCAGGGAAGGGTTGTCACGGTCAGTGTGGAGTACCACCCTGGGCCCACACCCAGGGCCCCCAAACTCACAGAGCCCTTTAGAGACGAGGACGAGCTTCCGAGGCGCCAGGCCAGGCATCCGCGGCTTGATGAGGTCCTCCACGGTGACCGCTGCCATGGCATTGATACTGGTGGATGCCGTACTGCCAGCGAGACACAAAGGCGGAGCCTCAGGGACAGCGCAGCTGCCTCAGCGCGGGGTCAGACAGTCCTGCCGCAGCCCCTCTCAGGCCCGCCTCCATAACCAACGGACAGGGTCAGAACTTAGCACCCTCAAGGAGGTGGCGGTCAGTATGGATCAGAGCCCTGGGAGGCTGAGTCATGGCTGAGGGGTGAACAGGACGGTCACCTGAGGGTGCCACTGTAGGCACAGGCCAGGAAAAGCCCAGGGACTCCAGGCAGGTCCTCAAAAATGTCCAACACGAGCAGCGGCATGTACTGCGGGGAGACAGAGGCTGTCACACAGGACATGGGTGGGTGTTTTCTCTTTGCTGTACTGGGCAGGCTAGCCTCAGCTACACGGTGGGTCAGGCCAGTCTGAGCTGCCTGAGACCGGTCAACAGTCCAGCTGCTATTACTGTCATGCTGGCCTGAGGTCTCCTCTCCTCTTGATGTCCTCGGGCGTCTTTGCGACTCTTCCTTGGCATGGTCCCCTGGCCTGCTCACACACCCACCATGGCTGCCCACTGCCCCTGGTTCACCTCGCTCTCCTCCACCACTCTCCTGACCCTGTCTCAAGATGTCTGCACAGACTGTGTCCTCTGGAGGGCATTGTTTTTCCTGCGCTCACCTGGTCCGGTGCCGAGATGCGCTGGGTGAGCAGGGGGTCACAGTCTCTGTAGAAGACGAACATGACGATGCCACAGCAAGCAGCGCTGGCCACGATCAGAAAGAGGCCTAGCTGGTTGACAACCAGGGCCCTGAGGGGGTGGGGCAGCCTTAGGAGTGTGTGGGGGGCGGCTCGCCCCAGGACCTCTGCGTGGCTCCCTCACCTGCGTACTCACAGCTTGGCTTTCCTCTCCGTCCGGCAGGCCACGTAACGCTGTACCTGGGCCTGGTTCACACCGTACATGGACAGCCACACCAACGTGCCGCCCACCAGGAAAGTCCAGAAGGTGTAGCGGCTGCGAGGGTCCGCGTCAAAGCTGAGTAGGGAATGGGGCGGGTTAGGGACCATGTGTGTGAAGCTACCCCGCTCCCCAGATCACCCATGGCTATTCTGGACCCTAAGGGGACGTTCGCAGTTAGTTTTGAAGTGTGAGTGGGAGTTTTCTATGTTGAGTTTTGTTCCCCTCTGAGACACCTGTGGGGGGACGGGGAGCAGGGACAACTCAAAAACTAACATCCCATCATCGCAGTGCTGGGGAGGCTGAGGCATAGATGCGAGGCTAGCCTGGGCTAAGGAGTACAGCCCTGTGTCTCACTCCATCAGGTTGATCCGGGAATGGTTCTGGGCAAGACTGAGCACGTTCCAGGGGCCCCCCGTGAGCATGGCGCCACGGGCCAGGATCACCCAGAAACCGCTGAGCATCACCACCACCTGGAACACATCTGTCCAGACCACGGCCTTCATTCCACCCTGTGCATGAAAGGGGACACGGTCACCGGCCTGCCCAGGGCTGCGCGCTTCCAGCTCCACCCCGCCTGCCTTCCTGTGGGTCAGGGAACCGAGGCAAGGCCCCCTTGGGTTTCCCACCTGTAAAGTAAGGATATTCTACCTTCCTGCGGCTGGTTGGAGGATTAAGCAAGATAATGGGTGAAAAAGACGCAATTGCACTGTACGCCCCAGCAAACACTCCAATGTCTATTGTAATTACCCTGTTTTTAAGGCGTTTGTAGCCCAGGCTGGCTTAGAACTTACAAGCCTCCCATCTCAGCCTCCCCAGAGCTGCTGTGACAGCAACAGCAGCTACCTCTATTTCTGCACACTGTCATTCTCCCTGCAAGTCTCCCACACCAGAAACATGCCAGCCCCTCAGGGGGCGCAGCCAAGACGTGGGACCCAGAGGAGAGCAGGCCAGCCCCTCAGCCAGCTCACTCTGGAAAGGCAGAGGTCACAGCTCAGGGACCAGGGAACCCAGGGCAAGGCAAAGCCCCTCAGAGCGGCTAGATCCAGCCTCAATGATGAGCCCGCCCAGTAGACTCCCAGTGCTTAGGCGGGAAAGACTGTGGGAGCCCAGTTTAGGCAGAGGCTAGCTCCGGAGAGGGGCGTGGGAGGTGCTGCCTGCCTGGGGTCGCCCATAAGACCACGCAGCGGCCACGGCCCACTCACCACCGTCGTGTACAAGGTGCAGATGACTCCCGTGGACAGAAGCGACGCCCAGATGTCCAGCCCGGTCACTGCAAAACACCTCCAGTCAGGCCTCCAGCTTTCTTCCCGCTCACGGGAGGTCCAGCCTGGGCTCCTGACCTGCCCGCCCCTCCCCGCCCGCCCGCCCGCCAGTCGGACCTTGGTTCAGGATGAGCGCGGGCGCGTAGATCACGATGCCTGTGTACAGCATCTGCGGGTGGGGAGGCAAGGAGCGGGAAACAGGGCGGGGTCGGACAGGAGGGGCGGAGCCGGGTTAAAAGAGGGCGGTGTTAGGCGGGATTGGGGTGGAGCTGAGTAGGAGGGTGTCTCCCGGCAGGATGAGGGCGGAGTTGTGGGTGTGGTCCCGTTAGGTCCCAGGGAAGCAGAGCTCCTGCAGGGCAGGGGCGGGGCCATGCAAGGTGGGGCGTGGCGCGAGGTCAGGTTGGGGCGGGCGGGCTGAGTGGCTGGTGTGGGCGTGGTCGGGCGGGCAGCTGGCTCACCGTGGCCACCAGGTACTGCAGCGTCCCGCAGAGTCGCACAGCTCGGCTGAAACGAAGCTCTAAGTACTGCGGAGGGAGCCAGCGCTGGAGGTCACCGGCCAGATGACCTCAGCCACCCCCACTGCTCTCACTCTCTCCCGGGTGCCCAGGGGTCTCTGTGTAAACCAAGCTGCCTTGGAACTCGAGGCAATCCTGCTGCCCGAGGTTCTCTCGGCCTTCAGATTGTCACGACCCTTGTTGGACGGCTGCAGGGTGCCCAGCTGCGCCCGCAGATTTGCGACTGGGGTTTCCCCAGTGAGTCTAGGCTGGCCTGGAACTCAGGGCAATTCTCCTGCCTCAGCCTCCCCAATGCTGAGTCCACAGGCAGGCGCCATCCCGTTTTCACTACGCGTTGAACGGTTGGGAAATCCTGCGGGGCCCTGTGCCTCGCTGCAGGCGTTTGAACCGTGTGCGGGCGCGGGTGGGGGGCCCGGTTCGGGCTCCCGCGGGGACAGGTGTCAACGGGAAGCCACCGCTCGAGGCTGCTTCGAGGTGTGGGACCCGACTCCCTCTTCCTTCTTCCTGGCCCTGCCCGACGCCCGCGGCATCTTCCCGGAACCTTCCCGCGGGACGGGTCCCCTACCTGGTAGGTGCTGGTGAGGCCCAGGCGGTAGAAAACCGGCAAGAAGAGCGCGCCGGTGAGCAGCGAGTTGAGCAGCTGGCCCGCGCACATCCACAGGAACTTGAGGCCGTAGCGCGCTGCCTCGGCGGGGACCCCGAGCACCTGCACTGCCGACATGAAGCTGGCGGCCAGCGACAGCCCCACGGGCACGGCTGCCAGCTGCCGGCCCCCGGTGAAGAAGTCATCGGCGCTGCGCTGGCCGCCGCGGGCCAGGCCGACCCACAGCCCGATGCCCGTGGACACCAGCAGCATGGCTGCGAACACGCCGTAGTCCCAGGGGCCGAAGGTGGCCCTCGCCCCGGCCTGTGCACCCTCCATGGGGACGGGAGACTCGGTTGGGGAAGGATGCGGAGATGGCAGGGACCCTGGGTCAGAGCGTGAGTGCCGGTGCGAGTCCCCGCGGTGCCGTCGGTCCCCTCGCGCCGTGCGCCGCGCATTTATTGGGCTCCGGGGTCAGCGCGGCTCCGCCCCCAGCCTGGGAGGCGGACGCGACCCGCACCCTTTCCGCCCTGGGGCGAGCGGGCCTGCTGGGGTGCGGGCAGCGGCGGGGAGGCTCCTCGCGACTCTCGTCTCCTGACACTGTCTCCCACACCCAGGGCTGTGGACAGACAGGTCAATGGAGGCTCCGACCCGCGCTCGCACAGCCGCCGGGCTTTGGTACCTGGAGCCACGGGGAGCCAGGCATTGGGGTTCCCTTTCGCGGGGGCTCCCGGGCTCCGGGAGGAAAGCGCGCGACCCCAGCGGGCATCTGCGTTTCTTCGCAGTGTGGGACAGAGATCTGTCCGACCTTGCCCTCCAGCCAACCCCGGTGGGACTCAGTTTCCCCAAAGGGCAGTCTGCACCTGTCTCTCCCTCCCCCGTGTGCGCGCGCGTTTGCTCTGCACCTGCCTGGTCCTCGCCTGCCTGCCTTCCTTCCCACAGGCTGACTTCTAAGCTGTGGCAATCCTGCCTGCCTCGGCTTCCCTGGCGCTGGGATGGCAAGTGTGGACCTCCTGCCCGCACAAAGCTCCTTTGCTCGTTCTTTTTTTTTTTTTTTTTTTCTTTGCTCGTTCTTGGGGCGACCATTCTTGCAGTTGTTGGTACTTTGGCTTAGAAGCTGGTGGTGGATCGAGGCCTTGATCCGGACTTGGGGCTGGGGACGATGCAGCCAGAGGCTCCGGAGCTGTCACCATTGGACCCTTCCCGGATGATTGGTGGGGAATCTGGGGTGTCCCAGGTTGATACGCTGTCGAGCCCCTCACGTTTCGGGCAACCGAGCAGGTGGGAGGCCTGCGGCACGCGCCCCTGGCTGCCTCAGGCTGTAAACCAGCTCGAAAGGCCCTGTACCCCATAGATCGTGGCGCCGCCTCAATCAGAGGCGAATCTCCAGGCAGGGCCCCTCCGCAGCAAGGGGCCTGGGGCGGAAGGAGCTGGATCGGCTAGAGTTGTCTCTCAAGCCTTGGTGTTGAGGGCGCTAGTGCCGGGGGGGGGGGGGGGGTGTCCTCTGAAGACTTTGAACCCAGGGCTTCCAGGTTTTCGAATGGGCAGAGCTAGGGGACAGTCATGAGGCATTCAGGAGTCAAGGGACTGGAGTGAGCCGGGAGAGAAGAACCTCCCGGAATCTGGACTGCTGTTCTGCAGAGGCCGAGACGCTGCAGGTGTTGGACAGGCTCCTGGGGACCCACTAACGGCCACACCAAGCGAGCAGCGATGTCTAGTACCCAGTGTTTTAACATCAGAGCTGTAGCTGATTGCGCTCCCGTCCAATGCTTACAGTCCTAAACATTTAGCTTTTCCAGACCAGGTGTCTGTACACCAGCCTGGCCTGGAACTCCGCCTGCCTGCCGCGAGTGCTGGGATTACATGATCGAGCCGCCACTGCCCGGCCCTCTGGTCTTCAACTCAGATCCACCTGCGGTCCGCTTGCGCCCGTGTTAACAATGCCGGCTGCCCTGGGCTTTGTGGAGCAGGGTGGACTCTTCCTCCCAAGCACTGGGATTAAAGGCCATTCAGGAGGCAGAGGTAGGTGAATCTGAGCCAGGCGAGCCCGAGCGACTAGTATGTAACCTGCTATGTCCGAGTGACCAGTATGTAACCCTGACAACTATGCCTAACTACGGGCTAGGTGTGTGGGAATGCGGGCACCTGCAGCGGATGGCATCACAGATGTGGGCTAATTAGGTGCTGGGGACCTACCCAGGTCCTCTGTAAGAGCTGCAGTGGCGCTATGTGATTTCCCCAAGGGTCCAAAGCATTGAGCGGCACTCCGGCCCAGGTACCAACTCTTGTCCAGAGAACATGCCAAGCATGAGGACACGGAGAGCTGGAGAGGGCGCCTTGTCCTTATTAGGTGGTCAAGTGGAGGATAATGGAGCAAAGTGACTAGACAAAATGTCTGCTCTTGAGGGAGTCTCAGCACCCACAAATCTCATCTCCGGGACACCAGACGCCCTCCTCTGGCGGCCAAAGGTAAGGACAGGGTGTTAAAACTCGATACCAGCCGGGCGGTGGTGGCGCCCTCAATCCCAGCACTCGGGAGGCAGAGGCAGGCGGATATTTGTGCGTTCGAGGCCAGGCTGGACCGATAGCCTCCGAAACAATACAGTGAAACCCTGTCTCGTAAAAACCAAAAAAAAAAAAAAAAAAAAAAAACCAAAAAAAAAAAAAAAAAACCAAACTCGATACCATACTTCTAGTGCTCTATTCTTTAGCCAGCAGGAAACTTTTTGGTTTCTCTGTAGCGTTGGAGGGTGTCCTGAAGTAGCTCTTGTAGACCAGGCTGGCCTTAAACTCTGCGTGCTCCACCACCACCCAGCAAACCGCAACACCATTATTTCCAGGAGGCAGCAGAGTGGTCCCCAGTGACTGGCACCCCTTCAACTCCAGCCTGGCCATGATAGCCCTGGTCACACCTAGCCAAAAGGAGCCCCATGCCACCACCTGCCTAGTCAGTAGTAGCCGAGGCACTCAGTGACATTTCCCAGACGCAGCCGAGGCCCAGGTCCCTGGCTGGCCTCATTCCCACCAGCAGGACAAGGGCTCAGTCGGTCCTGGGGGTGGATTAAGTTCATGCCTGGAATTCTCAGGCCTGAGCCAGCACCCTGGAGACTGCAGAAGGCCACCTCAGTGTCACGCACAGGGCCTCAGGTAGCGAGGGCTCAGCACACACCCCTCCAGGAGGGCCGAGTTACCGTGGTAGCACTCAGCTGTACAGAAGAGGCCCAAGAATGGCCACTGAGCTAAGGCTGTCAGGTGGGGCTAGCCTGAGCTTTGGGGGCCCGGGGACCTCTTCAGGGACACAGAAGCAACGAGCCAGGCAGAAACTGTTTTATTCAGTGGATCTCTGGGTCTAGAAGAAGGTGTTAGGCCTCTTGGTGGTGAAGCGTGGCTTGTGCTGGCGCCGTAACACACGGTGAGGCAACGGGAACTTGATCTTGGAGTCCTGTGGAGAGGGAGGGATGAACACCCAGGGCTCACCAGGTGGAACCACCCCCCGCAGGCCCGCGTCAGCCCCCACTCAGGGTCACTCACGTGGAACTGCTTGACGGCCGGCCGGCGGCATTTGCCAGCTGCGATCTCCTCCACCTTCATGATCTGGATGGAGTGAGCTCGGGCACGGTGCCGGGCACCCATGTCCCGGTCTGCGGAGGGAGGAGGAAGTCAGCCCCAGCCACACCCCTGCGCGCCTGCCCCCGGGACTGTAGAACCTCTTGATTCACTCTGGGGGGCACCACGCAGCCCCCCAAAGGCGACAAAGCCCCTTTGCTGTGTGCACCACTGTTTAAACAGCCGCTACAGGCAGCGGCAGTCCTTGGGTCGGGTGCAGGAGGGGGGGTGCAGGAGGGGGGGGGCGGGCGGGGACACTCACAGCACTGCGTGACGGCGCCGGCGGTGGTCAGGTCCCGGTACTCGCGGTACATGTTGTGCGTGCCGCTGCGGGAGTCGTAGCGCAGCCAGATGCCGAAGTTCTTCACTCGCAGTGGAGACTTCTCAAACACCTGCCCGCAGTACACGATCTCCCCGGACGACTTCTTCATCTTCTTCAGCTGGGACACGAAATACCAGAAGCGGGACTTGGCCACCACGTGGTTGGGCGCGAAGATGCGCATCCGGTACAGCGGTGGCGTGTGGCACTTCGGGGTGGGCAGGCAGCGCCCCACCACCTTGTACTCGCGGAGCTGGAAGGGAGGGGAGGGTCACACACAGCCCTGTCTTCCCACCCAAGCACCCGGGACAACGCTCCCGCCCCCCGAGCGGCGGTGACAGGCAGGCAGGCCATCGCGGCCTGCAGCCCGGGGACGGCTCGGCCGACTCAGCCCCTGCCCCGTGCCTCCACCGCGCAGGCTCGGGGACAGCAGGCGACCCGGGCCGGGGGGCCCAGCGCACGCCGGGCAGCGCCGCAGACGCCTCCCTGCCCCGGCCGGCGACCCCGGGGTCCTGCCTCGCCCTCGCCGCCTCCCGAGCGCCACATCGCCGCCGCCCGCGTCTTTCCTTCACGGGGGGGGGGGCAGGGGCTTTTCCCACTGGAACTCGCGGCAATCCTCCTGCCTCAGCTTCCCAGGGGCTGCTGTCACAGGAGCGCGACACTGCCGGGCACTTTCCAGACGGTAAGATCTCGGTCCGCAGCCCCGCGCGCGCTCCCGACCGCCCCGGCCTCCGCTCCGCACGCGGCGGCCGCCATGTTGCGGCGGAGCCTGCGCCTCGCCGAGGGCGGCCCGGGGCTGGAGAGCGGGTCTCGGCCCCCGCGCACGGCGGCGCCCAGGCCCGCAGCCACCCCGAGCGGCCCCGCCGCCCCCGCCGCGCCTCCAGCCCGACGGCGGCCCCCTTACCGTGCCTGAGGCCTTCATGGCGGTCCGTCCTCGCTCGCCGCCAGCCACGAAAGGAAGTGATGCTTTCCGCGCAGGCTCTCACCATGTCCCTAACGGAAGTCCCGCCCTACCCGATGCCGTGCGTCCATTGGATACCTATGCTAGCGCTCTAAAACCTTAGCTTTTTTATTGGCTACAGATCAGTGACGTACAAGCCCCGCCTCTCTCATGCAGGGACTACAATTCCCAGGAGGCAGAGCGACGAGCTTTTGCAAGTTCCTCCGGAGCTACGACAGAACCTCTGCGCGCGGGAGATGCTGGGAGTCGTAGGCGTAATGGTCTCGATTGTGAATCCAGAGGTTTTCTTCCTTTCTTTCCTTCCTCTCCTTCCTTCCTTCCTCCCTCACTCCCTTCCTTCTTTCCTTCCTTTTCATTTTTACGCCATCTAGCCATCTTTTGTTTGTTTGTTTCTTTTTGTTTTTCGAGACAGGGCTTCACTGTGCAGCCCTGGCTGTCCTGGAACTCGCTCTGTAGACCAGGCTGGCCTTGAACTCAAAGAGATCCTCCTGCTTCTGCCTCCCGAGTGCTGGGATTAAAGGCGTGCGCCACCA